TACCTCAAGGATTACGCAACGATTGAAGCGACCTTCAGTCAGCGGCGTAGCTTGGGGCGATGGGGCATACGATGAGTGCGCAGATGTCAGTGAACCTCAGAGCTTGCGTTGCTATTTCGCAAGTGGCCTATTGGCATTTATGAAAGCCATATGCACTATAGGTTTGAGATTTAACCCAGTGTTATTGTAAGGAAAGGTAAGAGGCATGGGAATGCTCGAGGGTGTAAAATATTTTGCAATGGCAGAGAAGTGGAATAATTCAAGTTGTTTAGAAGAATCTTGGTTAAGGATATGGAATTGACGTTGAGTTAAATCAGTGCCTTGGACAGGCATCAGCGAATTTTTGAAAAATGTATAAAACATAACGATTGGACAGTAAAAATGGTCAATAAGTGGATTTTGTTGAAATCAGCACCTTGAGCTGTTTGTATAGACAAAACATGTATTGTTTGTCTAGTGCCCAGTATTAGTAGCATTTCAACACTTTCCACATAAAGCAACGGTCACTGCACCGTAGAAAGAACAGTTCTTCTCATGTTGGCCTCCAGACAACGTCAATCGTGTTCTAGTCCCCATAAGAGAAGAATAAGCATGCTTCACAAATATTTTATGTCCAATCAGTTTGTTTAATGTCTCCTATCTTCTTTTCTTAATCTCCATATCTTCTGAGATAACCTGTGTCCGGAAGAGAATCGGTTCATTCCCTGCGTGACCATATTATCTGAACATCAACAAGATCGTGCCAGTGGCGGTATTTGTTGTGCTCAAGGACAATCAGGGACAAATCAGGAAACGACAATGGACCTGTAACGTGTGCAGCTCTCCTCGGTAGTTTTCCACAATACCGTCTACGAGATATGCCCAAAATTCGACCATAGAGTCTGGTCATGAATCCAGTTGGAGAAAATACTATCGGCCAGCGGTCTCTGAGAATATTAGCAGAGCGAAGCAGTGACCGGCGTTTTGTCTGGCTTGATAAAAGGGAAAAGATATGATTGCAAATGTCTTCAATGCTCTTCTTTCTTGTGCAATTCGAAACGTGTCGTAGGATAGTTCTGCTCGTGATTAGAGATGTGACCTTTGCTGCAGCAGTGAACGTTTCTTAATAATCAGAGTCATAGTGACTCACCTACGAACTCCGGAGGTGCCGGTTCAATTCCTAAAAAGACAAAATTTGTCTTAGCTACTGATTCCTTGACGTAAGGAATTTTTCCCGTGTTGCTTTGAAGCAACCAGTCGAGAAACGGGCAGCAAATCGCTGATTTGCGAGCATCAAGGGAAGCATGGTGTTTTGATATGGTCATGTCAGAGTGATACCAGAGTGGGCTATATTTACGGCCATGCTGTCTGATGCAAGCGCCTCGTAGATTCATGATTCGCGTTGACCAACCCCACGGCTGCTTATTCAATGTAATAATTAGCAAAATTTGTAATTTCTGTTGTTGTTGCTGTAGAATAATCTGAAGGAACATTTACAACGGTCAGAAATTATAAATCTAGGTTACAAGCTATGCTAACCTTATATGAATATGGAAAGGATAACCGTAACAGAGGTGGTAACGACTAAAACAGTGCATTTTATATTGGATAACGGAAAGCGTAGAGACAAAGAATATTGGAGAGTGTATTCTTAATCTAAGCCTGACTGTTTAAGTTGATTACAAGAAGACAATCGACAGAGGCAAATATTTTTTTAGATGGTTGTTTGAACAATTCATGGTTCAGGGCACCAAATATCAATGATCGTACAACAGTTTACTGCCGACGCGTTTCAGGCATAAACCGTAGCATCGTCAGGGTTAGAGAGCGTCATCATCGTGCCTAGCTCTGATAAAGCCATGGACTATGTAAGGAATCGCGTCGGCGATGAATTGCTATGGGTCCAAGATCAAGAGCCTGAAGTATTATGTCGAATATCCTTTTGTTGTCAGAACAGGTGCGTTTAGCAACACCAACTCTGATCGTAATGTGATAATGAATTCACCTACCTAATCTACACCAGGTATATGCATTT